TAACGGCGGAGTGGTGGTGGGGTGGGGTGGCTAATCAAGCCGAGGCGTGACGCGGCGGCGCGCTGCTTCAGGCTAAGCCTTTGAGATGTGATTGTAGCAAAGCTCCTTTCTGTTTTCAAGCAGCTCCCCGCCACGCCACGCCACGCCACGCCACGCCATGCTCCGCGGCGCGGCGCACCGCACGGGACGTGCTCCCGCATCAAGCAAAAGGCAGGAGAAATGTTTGGGAGGCTAAAATAAAGCGCCGCCCCTTCATCGCAACGGGGGTTCAACACACAGCAGCCGAAAAACAACCTGACGGCGGTAGAGAAGAAGAAGTGAAATAAACCTGTTCTGTCGTCAGTGGAGTGGAAAAACCTAAAAGTAGCCTTGCCACTCGTCAATCTTAGCAATTCGATAAACAATTTTTGAAGAAACCAGGAGTCTGTAAAATATACGGTCTTCGTGTGAGAAAGAGCTCAAGTCAGTAAAGATGTTCAAATCAAAACTTCCGGATATAATAGAGTCTTTCTTAAAGGGCAAAAAAAAAATTGCTTTCAGTAGTGAAGTCTACAATTGCACTAACAATTAGCGAAGCAGAAGCACAGGTTCCGAAAACAAAATTAACCCTGTCAGCGTGGCTAAACCCGCAACAAACTAGCAAAAACCCAACTAAAATGCTTTGATGTAAATTGAAGAACGTCTTACATTTTTCAGTTGGAAATTTTCTTGAAAGAAACACATTTTCCCCCTGTTTTTTCGGTGCATCGGAGTTCCCCTTTGAACTTGCCACTTTCGCGAGAAGGGGTTTGGTTATACGGGGAAGGGCCGGCGACCGGTCGTGAGGATGCAACTTCGACCTTTCGACGTTGTGTAAGCCGTGAAACAGGAGAGCAGTATATAGTGTGATTCGCCCGTACCACCAGTCCTAGTCCGTCGGGGGGTGGTGCTGTGGGGGGAATAGGGGTGTTAGTTGGATACCCCTTTCCCCCTTCTCCCACATTTCCGATGGGGTAGGAAAGAAGGGATCTGCTGGCTGAAAGGGAGAGGAGTGGAAGGGATGGAAGGACGACGGCTTGGAGAGCGCCGCC